ATATTATCGCTGTTTTCGAAATAGTTGAAAATAGAAATAATATATTTTTTTTTGGTGTACACTTGTACACTTGTACACTCATACACTCGATTACCTAAGCACATTGATTAAAGATTGACATTGATTTTATGTAATTGTTCATCAAACAATAGTTATGCGGATTTGTACTTCATAGACCAGATTGGCTAGCACAAAAAAATTGCTCGGATAACTAATTTACAATTCATATCAATACCGATACTTAAAAATTTAATATTTCAACAAAGGATTAATATTCAACGAAGTATTAACGTTCAATGTGCAATTAAATTTCGACTTCTGAAAACTTCACCTAGACAAGTTTATTCGTTTTCTAGAATCTAAAAGGTCTGGATTTAGTATATAAGCTTGTAAGGGTTTTACAGTATGCTTGTTTAATCAATATACATATGTAGATTTAGGTCGTGTTCATCTTCTGATTCAATACAGGACTAAGAAAACTCTATTATAGGTCCCTGCCACAACAATATTCGAATATAAAAGGTTTGGATTTAATTTATGAGCTTTTATAGTTTTACAACATTTGTCTAATTTTCAACATTTACAGATTTGTATTCGGCTTTCAATTTAGTACAGGACTGAGAAAACTCTATTATAGGCCCTGCCACAACAATATTCGAATATAAAAGGTCTGGATTTTATTTATAAGCTTGTAAGGTACTGTATAGCATAGTCTAAAATACCTAGGGTACTTTACAATTTAAGCTGTACAGCGTGGTCCAAAATACCTAAGGTACTTTACAATTTAAGCTGTATATATGGGTATTATAGTTTATGGTCAGTGTAGAGGAGTATAAGTTGCATTATATATGCTTCAGTAATATTTTATTTACTAAGTCAATAATCCATCTTATTCCGAATAGAAAATCCACAAACGTAAAATATAAGCAAAGTCAGGTTAAAAATTTGAAAGGTTCTAGCAGAGATAATATATATAAAAATCGTGTTAGATAATTATAAAACAGAGTGACAATCAGTATGTCAACCTGCTTTAGCATGGGTATCCAAAAAGATAAAGAATCACGAATTAGAAAATAAATTATTTGTAGCATACGAACAATACCTGTTTGAATTAGGCTTTGACCTTCTTAATAAATCTAAAGAAACAACCAAATCTGCCACCAAAGAAATAACTAGATATGTCAATATTCCACCTACTCGTTACGGATCTGATGGTGGAATTCTTTTATCTAATAATGCATATCTCAATTCAGAATTAATTGTTGTTGGGCCGCATGCACAGCTAACTGTAAACTCAAACAGAGATATTCTAAAACTGAGAGATGGTATATTCGAAATTTTTAAGTAGTAAATCGTCATTTCAATCCTTCAACCCAGCATGCAAAATATACATCAAACGTTACATCAGCTTTTCTCCTTCCTGATAGCCCTCAGTACATAAATTCTTCACAATCCAAAAAACTTAACCCCTTGAAAAGGCAAACAAACTATGAAAAAAGATATTTTTAGAACCTAGTCATTCTGTTCTAGATTGGACAAAACTGAAAAACAGTAATGTGGATTTGAGGGTAATCTATTATTTAGGCAAGACCAATTTAATTCTGTGTTACATTATTCCCATTCTCAAGAATTAAAACCTTTATTTTATATCTTAGGAAGTAAAGACCTTATTGTAGTTACCATTTAGAGGATAATTTTGCTTATCATTTTTGAAATCTATACTATTCAAGAAATCAAACTTTATATTGAGCTATTTGTTAGTTAAAAGATCTGAACTAAATATTTATTCTTATAAGCCAATATTTAGTTTATAATAAAAATAACAATAATAATAATAATTATAATATTGAAGATAAGTATAATAATAATAATAATGATCATAATATCGAAGATAAGTATAATAATGATAATAATAACCATTCGCTTTCAAATACAGTAAAATTTAAATTAATTAAAATTTTAATTTTTATATGTAAATTTAAAGTAATAGTACTTACACAATTAAAAAAGTTTTTTCGAGTTAAAATTCATAAAACGTATCTACTTTATAATTATCATGAATGGCAATCTGTTTTAAGACCATTGTAGTATATCAATACCTGATCCTTTTTTTAAATAAATAAAAAACCCAAGTACTATTGTCACTGAATATAGTATCTTTTAAATGTAAGTTCCCAGATTAAGATTTTGGACATAGTAAAGTAATACAGTACTGAAACACAAATTAGGAGGGATGCGTAGAAATCATGATAGTACGTATGGTTTGTAAAAAAAAACAAAAATTTGTCAAGCCAAAGTTACTTTCCTACTACCTGTCTATGCTCTAACAGAAAAAGAACAATACTGGCGCTTGTTTTAACCTTAACTATAAAAAGGGTTACTCATAAAAACTGAATTTTACAAGTTTATGTTAACCATATATACGATCAAAATTTAGTATAACTTTTATATGTCCACCCGAATCTATACTGCCATACAGTACTACTTTACTAAATACTTAAATTTTGGTATTGGTTTCTATCCAAATTCAAAATTATTATAAAATTAATTTTCTATATCAAAATCCAATAAGATCTAGATATTAGATATTATATAGTAGCAAAAGATATAAGAATAAAAAAAAATTTACTAAATGCAAAAAATCTTGAAGCACCTTCATAGTGAGTTGTAAAAGTTCTTTATTGATAATAAAAGCTTTAAGTGTAATAGAGTAATTTGTGATGTTTAACGTCATTTTGTCCTGTTCCGTGAGGTAAAAAAAAAAATATAAAATATAGATTTTACTGAGTATTAATATTTGAAATACATGTGATTGCTATCCAATTACATGAATTCAAACATCTGTAGGCAAAAATTTTGATTTAGTTGAATTCATTATATCCTATTAATAATCTCTAGTCTCTTGATTGCTATCAAAAATTGATCATTATTATTTTGTTCTGTATGTGTATAAGTAAAAACTAATACCTCACGGCCCAGGATATTACTAATATAATACCCCAATTACTATATCAAGATCATGGAGAGTATTAATTAATAATACTCTGACCGTATGTGAATAAGCAGAAATAAAGTTTTTACCAATTCTCAACAGATCAGAATATTATTATTACTTATTATACTAAATTTATAATCCTTTCTTGTGATGATAAATAATGAACCATTTTATTTCATCTGAATTATTATCGAAAATAAAATCTAAAAAAAAAGAAACAAAATTAGATTTTAATAAGTGCATAAAATCTCATTAAGTATATTACTTCAAACTATAATTATTGTTGTGAATCAAATTAAAATAAAATTTGGAATTTCCTTTTAAGCCTATAAAATCTACTTATACTATTGTTATATTCTAACCCTAAATCCTAACCCAAATCCTAAAAAAGCCTAAAAATGCATTTTTAAAAAATTTGTAATTTTCAAATTAAATAGCTCAAATTTCCATATTAATCTGATTTCAGTAATAGCTTATACTGAGATTTGGATCCTTATTTAAATCCAAAATATTTACTAAAATCTATATATATAGCAAAAGCAGAGGATGAGACTATATAATATATAGCCTCATCTCCTGCTTTTGCTGTGAGCATTTCTATATACTCTTATTAATAATACATACTTACCTTAAATTCTAAATTAACAGACTACTGTATTATAATTTTATAATAAAAATAGGACAAATTTTCAGTATAATCCAATCTTAACATGAGATAATTGCATCTTATTAGCAATATATGCCTTCAGTAATGCTTTGTCCTTTGTCAGGAATTTCGTTCGATCAAAAACTTTATCATTAATAAGAAGTCACACTATTATTGAGTTCACCATTCCATATTTATAATATAAGTTAATAAGATAGTTGTATTGATATAGCCCTATTGCTTATTCGAATTATCTAAAATAAATAACCTAAAAATTGAACACATTTTTTTAGTTATTCCACTCAATCGATTTGGAAGAGAATTATTGTTAAAATAGATTTCTAGTCACCCAACGGACTAATATAGTAAAAGATCAAGTGAGATTAGATTACGTATTATCACAATATTGAATCGATACCCCTGAAATTAGTATTACTGGGGTAGGTTTTTATGAATGCAATGGGCAGTGGTACAGTAAATGGCCACTGTTCACTATACATATCGTTTTAGTCTTGTTCCATTAGTCTTTTTTTGTTATATGGCCCCGTTCAGTTATACGGTAATGGTAGCTAAATTTTGTTCTGCTAATTTTCTTTTATTATATGAACCTGTCTAGTAATGGTGGCTAATGTTTGTTCTGTTGGTTTTCTTTTATTATATGATTCTGTCCAGTAATGGTAGCTAATTTTTTTTTTATTAAAAAAAAAAAAACTAATTAAAATTATATAGAGATTCTTTAAAGTTTTCTGGCCAAGAAATACTGTATATTAACATGAGTTTTTAGAATTATTATCGTATCATTGTCCTAATATGTAAAATCGAATATTGATACCAAAACGCTAATAAATTTATAGAGTTCTATTTTCCTTTCCTTTTGTTTTTATGTAGCAATAATATGTATATAATTTAATAACTTAATAATGGAATTTTGCAAATATTTAATGATCATAAATCGCTGTGTAAAAAAAAAAAAAAAAATATCATTTTATAAAATTGGAATATGTTTTTCATGCCAAAAGTGTTTATTTTGCTTTATGGACCAAACTCAAGACTTATGTGAATGTGATGTTGAACAAAAACCAGCTCGCGATAAAACTCGTTCTAAACAAAGTCAACAAATTTATAGTAGATGTTACAATCCTAATAATATTCAAATAACTCAAAAACAATTTCTTAAAAAATATAATCGTATTTTTGCATATGACTGTGATTTTAATCAATCGTTTAATTTTAGTTTTGTTTAACATACCATTCACGATATAATCGTGCTAAAAAAGTTTTAAAGATTAAGATATTTCTTCAGCCATTACAAGTATTAGTGATCGCACTAAAGAAAGGGTTAAAGATACAGTTAAAGATATGGTTAAAAATACAGACTTGTCTTCAGCTATAAGCATTAGTGATGATGATTCTGACTTTTCACCAGACTCTGTTTCTTCAGCTATTACAAGTTGTAGTGATCGCGCTAAAGAAAGGGTTAAAGAAACAGTTAAAGATATGGTTAAAAATACAGACTTTTCTTTGGCTATAAGCGTTAGTGATGATAATTCTGACTTTTTACCAGACCCTGTTTCATTAGATGAAGATTCTAATCTTGGTTCAAAATTCAAAGCCAAAATTATAATTAAAGTTAGTAAGTCTGATCCAATACCAGCAAAATGGTTCACGTTTGAATCAACTGATTTTGGCAGCTTTTAAATTAATCTGGTTAATCATATTCAAAAGTATATCAATAATAATAATTTGGATAAAAATAACATTCAAGTCTCTTATAAAATCAATAGTCGCAGACAAGCAATAGCTTTAGACGACAAAGATGATTATAATACGTTTATTAGTGAATGTAAAAAAATAGCAACGTCAAGCAAATATATGGTGCTAAACATTGTGCTAAAATTATCTGGTAATAAAAAAAAAAATAGAAAAAGAAAAACTAAAGTACATATATATGTATATACATATGTATGTACATTTGATTTTATATGTATTATATAATAAGTAATATAGATTACAATTTTAACATTCATATATATAGAGAAATTAATTGAAGAATTCAGTGATTTGGATAAACAAACACCAAAAAAAATAATTAAAAAATTAAAAACAGGTTTTGTACCCAAAGAATCCAAACTTAGTAATGATGAAATCGAACTAGCCAATTTTATTACAGAAATTAGATCAAAATATCAATGCAACATTCACGCTACGCCTGTTATATTGAAGATGATAAACATCTTGCATTAATATCTGCATGCTTACATTTGTGGGCACAGGATATAGTAAGTATTATTATTATAAATTAATATTAAGAGAACTAAATTTTTTTTGTATTCATTTTTAGTATTTTTAATTTTTAAAAAAATATATGTGTAAAATATAATAAATATTCTTATTTGTAGAAAAACAAACTTACTACTATTGAAACGCCACCTTCATATTTGACCTTTGGTATAACTAATGCCATTAAATCTAATACCCAAGCATTACAATTACAATTGTCACCTATAGTTACATCAAGTTCAGGTTCAATTTCGAGTCTTCAAGAATTTTTTGAAGATTTAGATAAAACTCATAATAGTAATGGGGCTTATTTAGATTTAAAAGTGATATTTGAACGGGAAGAAATAACTGTAAATACAATTAAGGACTTAAATGATTTGGAATTAATTAAATTAGAAGTTATCAAAATTGGGTGGCGAAAAAATATAAAACAGGCAGGAAAAAAATATTAATATATAATTTTGAGGCCTGGGTTTTGTGGTATATATGCATATTTTTTTAATGAATTTGGAAGTTTAGTAGTGATTGTACACGAATAGATATTTTTATTAGATGGTTATAATAAATTACCTGTATAACTAAGTAATTGAATAATATTCAGGTAAATTTTTTTTGACAGGTACAATCTCTAAAGATTAGAATATCAAGTTTTTTTAAGTTTAAAGTTTTTTCTTTTATCATTAGATAGTAAGTCAAATATTATGCTATTTTAGTAAATCTTGCAAATAAATAGGCTTTTCATAAAAATTTTTCCTATTAGTAAATTTTAAATATACCATAATATTCGATTTTTCTTTATAAATAATAGTTATATCCTGGGCAATTAGGTATAAATGAATTTTGTGCAGTAAGTATAATTGGCCATGGTTATCCATACTTTTACTGCAAAATTTCACATATATCCAACTACATAGGATGCAAATGATTTATCCCTGCTGTCTATGTAATATAACTTTCATGTACTTATTTTAAAATGAAGCTTTTATTTTATGCATAGTTTTGATATTTAAGATTAAATAGAATAATGCTCAATTATCTAAATTAAATAGATATATTTAGTAGAAATAAATATATGAAAAAGTTATATAAATAGAGTTGGCCAGGAGATAATATAAGAATAAACTCTTATAGCCATTATTAGAAGAGCATAACATAAAGGAAGATCAGGTATTATAGTACATCTAAAGGTGCTAAAAGTTTTCATTAAAAGTATATTTTATTTCTAAAAATTTATTCAAATAAACTAATATTTGACTTAATTTATTGTCAAAAAAATTTTTTTTTTAAAAAAAACTTGACATTCAGAACTTTTAAAATTATCTGAAAACTATTATATTTTTTTAATAGAGAGGTATTATGGGACTATAACCTAGAAAATGTATATGAATATTTATAAAACATATGAGCAAGATCATTAGTTATTACCCGGCAGTTATATGAGATACTATTGATATCTGTTATATCTGGCATATTTGGTATATATATAGAATATTTTTTATTTCTTTTATATTAGACCATTTTATCATGTTATGTTTGCTGTATATTACTAGTAATTATCATTAGTTCACAATATATATAAGTATCACTGTTATTTCCTCAAAAATCAGCAGTGCTTTCCACTCGAATATTAATTAGAGTAATCGTGTCTTCATATTGTAACTCAAGATTTATTAATAAACAGTTATACGTCTACTTGTATCTTTATATTTATTTAGTCGTTTGCCTCTTTCGTAATTGCAAATCACATTAAATCCTTTTCAACACTAGTATTGATTTATTAGCACGAGTCATACATTATACATGACAAACACGAGACATTCGTTTATTATCATCTTCGGTTATCCCGTTCTTATAAAGAGGTAGTTCATATTATGCAAATAACTCTTTTTATACGTACGTACATTGTAAAAGTTAGAAATTTGTAGGCTGCGTCGGAAAAATTACTGAGTTGATATTTATTCTGCTCACTACAAAAATAATAACTTAGAACTATTCAGAATATTAAAACTACTTTAACTAAGCTCTAATATTGGTAAGGCAACAATCGATGCATAGAAAGACTTGGTCTGAGTAATTAATGTTAATTTGATTGGTAAGGATAGTGTTAGACTCAGATAAGTGTTCTACTATCTTTCCTTAATAAGTATTCTACTTTTCTTAACACTTTCGCTAGTACTATAATTCTTTTCATAGGTATTGCGGCTGGGTCTCATGATCGAATTTGGCTAATTAGAATGTGGTACAAGGTCACAGTATCACAAGATCATGAATCGAATAAAATGATGTTGTCACAAACTTGATCAGAATCAAGTTTAATATATAAGGGTTGTATTACTAATACTGTTTCTTTCTTTTACTAAATATAACGATAGTCACAGGGATAAGAAAAAACTATAACAACAAACGATTTTTAATAAGAAGAGTACCATGGGTTAAAGACAAACACTTCTACTCTTATTTTAAAGGTTTTTGTGGAACTATTTAAATTAAACTTCACAAAGTTATGTTTTATCTCTATTTATATAATAAATTTTACATATACAAGAATAATGTGAATTCTAATTTTTCTAGTTATTCTAATTTTTCATCTTTCCCACTATTCTGATTTTTCCTACTATTTTTAGGAATTAACTGAATTCCAGAAATTCATACAACTGATTGCAATGACAACTTTTTTGGGAAGGACGATCCTGCCTTTTACAATATACGTATATATTAGATTTCTTTATGTATTTATAATTAGGTTCAATATATTTTACATATACAGAGTCAAATAGAGAAATCCATGATACATATCTGGTCCAATTGATATTTGAAAGACTGTATATTCTTATAATATAATTTGCAATATATAAGCTTAAATAGTTGCAATCATTAATTAACCTCAATGTCTGTTACTTAATAACAAGTTGCGAAAAAAAAGGTATCCTTTAGTGCAAGCAAAAAAGCAAGTATTTTATTATTATTTATTTCTTTTTTTTTATATTCTCACAATTGACTACTATTAACCATTATCTAATTATATTATTTTTTATGTGTTATTATGTCATATGAGCATATTAAGTATCGATTTTTCTTTTGTGTATTAATTCCTAATTGAATACATATAATCTAATATATTTCTTTATTTATCCAGGCTGTTACTAGATCGATTATCAATGCGCAGAATTGTTCACATTTCAAGCATATTAAGGGTAGGGGGTATATAGATCATTTATCATATGATTTCAGTGGTACAATAGAATTTATATAGAAAATAAAAATATGTAACTAATAAAACTTTTTATAGTTGTAATTAATTTTGACTAAAATTTTATAATATATAAAACAAAATATATTTTTTATAATACTAAAATTTTAGCAGATAAAATATTTAAAAAAATTATACTTCTATATATTGTAAAATTCCCT